CCCCCCCACCCCCAGCACCACCGCAGCAGCAGCAGCAGCAGCAGCAGCAGCAGCAGCAGCAGCAGCGGACTGAGGTGGTCGAAGGGGTCCGTCTTGTTGGCCTCGTTGATGACAGCTGTGGGGTTTCGAATCCAAATGTGCTGCAGCGCCTCCTCCACTGTTATTCGCTGCTGCCAGCAAGGAGTCAGCATGCGGCAGATGAGGTCTTTGGCGCTGCTGCTCACGGGCCGCCACAGCGGCCCCTCGAAGCTCAAAGGGTAAGTCTGCAGCAAACCCTAAACCCTAAACCCTAAACCCTAAACCCTTAACCCTTAACCCTGAACCCTGCGCGCCATTGAGAGGTGCGGCGAAGGAGCCGCGCGCACGGCGCAAATGTGCGGCTTTTCGGGGGCACGGGAAGCCCAAGCTCAAACCCTAAACCCTAAACCCTAAACCCTAAACCCTAAACCCTAGCAGTGGGCTGCGTGGCCAGTGAGAGAGGCACTCAAACCCTAAACCCTAAACCCTAAACCCTAAAAGGGGACTGTTGATTTCGCGAAGAAGGGCCTGGGAGAGAGCCTGGCTGCGGCCCTGCACTAGGGCTTAGGGTTTAGGGTTTAGGGTTTAGGGTTTACCTGGTGGAAGTGGGGGGACCCCAAGTGCTTGTTGATGGGAAAAGGCAGCCGCCCCCGCAGCAGCAAATAAGTTATGACACCAATGGACCACAAGTCTGCCTGTTGGTTATAACCCTCGAGAGAAAGCACTTCGGGGGCCACGTAGCTGCAGCAGCCGCAAACCACGATTTAGGGTTTAGGGTTTAGGGTTTAGCGTTCGGCGTTCGCGCGCCAGCCGCACTGCGCAGCTGCAGCAGCAGCAGCCCGATCACCAGCAGCAGCAGCAAGAGTGCCACTGGCAGCAGCAAGCGCAGCAGCAACGTCACCAGTAGCAGCAGCAAGACCAGCAGCAGCAGCAGATCACCAGCGCCAGCATCAGCAGCAAGATCCTCAGCAGCAGCAAACCACCAGCACCAGCATCAGCAGCAACATCCTCGTCAGCAGCAAGACCAGCAGCCCCAGCAGCAGCAGCAGCAGCAGCAGCAGCAGCAGCAGCAGCAGCAGCAGGATCCCCATCCCCATCCCCATCCCCCGCAGCAGCAGCAGCAGCAGGATCCCCATCCCCATCCCCATCCCCATCGCCCGCAGCAGCAGCAGCAGCAGCAGCAGCAGCAGCAGCAGCAGCAGCAGCAGGAGGCTGACGCGAGCGTGCCGCAGGGCTGGTGGAGGACTTCGTTGGGCCCGCAGAGAGTGGAAAGTCCGAAGTCGGCCAACTTGATAATTGCGTTTTCAGTTTTGTCGGAAAGTAAAATGTTTTCGGGTTTTAAGTCTCGGTGGATTATCCCGCACTTGTGCAGGTAGTACACTGTCGACAGCAGCTGCGACACGATCCTGCAGCAGCACCCACGCTCCCGCTGCTGCTGCTGCTGCTGCTGCTGCTGCTGCTGCTGCTGCTGCGGCGGCGGCGGCGGGGGTGCAGGAGGGGCAGCAGCAAGAGCAGCAGCAGCCGCTCGCCCGCTCGCCAAGCACCGAAAGCAGCAACGCCAAAACAGCCAACACCCCACAAAACACTAACACCAGCAGCAGCAGCAGCAGCAGCAGCTGCAGCAGCAGCAGCAGCAGCAGCGGACCTGTTGACGTGGACTTCTGGGAGGTGGTGGTTGGCATGGATTAAGTCGAAGAGTTCTCCGCCGCGGACCAACTCCATGACAATGTAAAGTGTCTCCTTTGTGTCCACCATCTCCTGCAGCAAGGAGACACCAACACGCCGCCCACAATCAGCAGCAGCAGCAGCAGCAGCAGCAGCAGCAGCAGCAGCAGCGGCAGCAGCAGCAGTCCTGGTCGCAGCAGCACCCGCAGCAGCAAAGCCTCAACACCAAAGCAGCAGCCCCGGCGCAGCAGCAAACCCGCACCAGCCGAACCCCCAGCCGCAACCCCGCAGCAGCAGCCGCAGCAGCAGCAGCAGCAGCAGCAGCAGCAGCAGCAGCAGCAGCAGCAGCAGGCTCGCCTTGAGGCGGATGACGTTGGGGTGGTTGAGGAGCCTGAGAATGACCATTTCGCTGCGGAGAAGTTCTCTTTCGTGGCGATTTATTTTTCCTTTTTCAATTACTTTTATTGCCACTTGTTCTTTTGTCTTTTTGTGCACTCCCCGGTAAACCACGCTGAACTTCCCTGCCCACACACGCCCTCAGCTAGCTAGCTAGCTAGCTGGCTGGCTAGCTAGCTGGTTGGGTGGGTGGCTAGCTGGCTGGCTAGCCGACTGGCTAGCTAGCTAGAGAGCTGGCTGGCTAGCCAGCTGGCGAGCTAGCTAGCTAGCTAGCTAGCTGGCGAGCTAGCTAGCTAGCTAGCTAGCTAGCTGGCTGGCTGGCTAGCTGGTTGGTTGGGTGGCTAGCTGGCTAGGGAGCTAGCTGGGTGGGGCCAGCACGGGGTACTTCGCTAGCTAGCTAGCTAATTAACGAGCCAGATAGCTAGCTAGCTAGCTAGCTAGCTAGCTAGCTAGCTAGCTAGCCAGACAGCTAGCTAGCTGGCCAGCTAGCTAGCTAGCCAACTAGCTAGCTAGCTGTTCATGGCCCAGTAACGACGAGAAGGCGTGCGGAGAGACACACGGGGACAGAAAAAGCGGTAGAAAGAGACACAAAAAGAAACAAAAAGGAGACAAAAAGAGACCAAAAAAGGGACAAAAAGGAGTCAAGAAAAGGAGACAAAAGGCCACAAAGAGGCAGACAAAAAGGGATTAAAAAGGAGACAAAAAGGGACTGAAAAAGAGACAAAAAAGGATAAAAAAGGAGACAAAAAAAGCCAAAAAAGGAGACAAAAAAAGCCAAAAAGGAGACAAAAAGAGACAAACTGACCTTGGCCCAGCTGCTCGTGGATCTCATTT